AGGCCTAGACACCACACTGTACGGTGGTTAAACAAATACATTTCATATATAACTGGTCTGAGCACTTCGGGTATGCGTGTCCAGTCCTGGCCCTGGAGGTCTGGTGTATGTATATGGGTTTTCATTCCAGGTCATCTCTTCACGGGCTCAACCAGCTGGGTACTGGCTTAACTGGGCCGATCTTACAGCTTTCTGAGCTCTCTCTGTTTGTTAACGAGGTGCACGACACGCCGCGGTCCACCACCAGGACTGGACGCCTAACCCGTCTCCCAGGTGAACCCTGGCGGCTTGTGTCCTCCTCCAGGGAGGAGATCCACTTCGGGTTTTGCTGACTCTCCCTCTAAGGAGGAGTAGCTGAGACCTGCTCTCTTCATTAACGTAAGAACGAAAGAGAAGTCACAGGAAGGAGTGCTCTGCTTGTTTGGCTGCTGTTGATCCAGCCACCTCTCGAAATATCCCAGGAATCTGGCTTCAATAACATAGCTGGGCAGTTTGCTCCAGACACTCGCTACTCTTTGTGTAAAAAGGAACCTCCTTTTTCTAACCCAATACAAGCATTAGTATCATTATTCACTGGATGTATTTTGTCCTGGCTTCTGATGTCTTCCCGACATAAAAAAAAAACTTACAAATTCTAGCAACTGTGTAACGATGAAAGAGGTCACTGGGGCTGTGGGACAGCCAGGAAATCGAGCTCCTGATAAATCTCTCTGCACAGCCTCTAGTGGATCCGATAACTGCCCGCTTAATTGCTTAATTTGTGTGCAGACTTTACCCTCTGCGAGAGACGATTGTCTTAACGGCAGAGCGCCTTGCATTCCATGCTGTTCTGTCACGTAGTCGGGGAACTGACGAGCACAAAACGTCAGGCAGCCTTGATAAAACCCACTCAATTCACTAAGCGTAAGCGCCCCCACCAGTCTTACAGAAAAGACCTGGCGAAACTCGGAGGGTGTGATGCAATTATAAGGGAGGTCAATACTATCTACCAGGCGATGGCTGCGTTTTAGGTACCGTGACAATTTGACACGATACAATCTCAGCTTGCCGCACGTCGTTTTAATGACATAATATACTCGGTTTCCAAGCATCATCCACGTAATATTGCTTGGGCATCGAGTTGAAAGAATAAAAAAAAAAATACTCTAATGTGTTTTACAAATGTCATTTTCCCTTACCGTGATGTCAAGATATGGGAACTAAACAATGACACAGTGGATACATTAACACAAATAAAACACGCGTTATATACTACATTTCACTTTCTTGTCCAATTTGTAAAACTTTATTATCAGGAAAATAAACCTCACAAATTAAAGCCATTTCCACATGGGATATCTTGTAAAAAATACCGATCCCCGTTCTTCCTACTGAGTTCTCTTTGGGATTATATGTTTTTGGTTGGGCGGAAGTAGACGCAGGAATGAGGGAGCGATCAGTCTGGGCGGAGTGATCGGGGAGGTATTGTCAATTTGTTGAAAGTAATAGACTGTAAGAAGAGAAAGGAAGACTTGCGGCCGTTAAAGAAAAACTCAGAAGTTTACGGTCTGTTGTTTGAAGAGTTTAAAATAAAGGGGTTTCTTCTATCTGGGAGCGTTGCTACCGTGCGGCAGAAAGAATAAGGGTGGGAAACGGGACAGAAGCAAAACACTGGATTGCAAAAACATGGAGACACGGAGAGAAGGGTATTCCGCGCAAGTTTGAGGGATTTCGTCTGCAAGTCCAACATATCGGGGAATTTGAAGTGTCGCCCGGAGCTGAAACCGGTTCGATTTGTAGCCTCATCCCTTCGCTGTTCCCCTTTTTTGTGGAAAAGATCTGTTTTCGGATCGGGGAATAAGAGGGAAGCCGAGTATCGAGAGAACACCAAAAAAGTTTTTGCCCTGGAAAGCGCCGGACTGCCTTGCTGAGGAAATCTGGGAGTTCGTGTTGCTGGAAAAAAAAAAAAACAACAAGGGGGGGGGGGAGATCGCGTTTTAAAAACCACGCACAGCCGTGCGGGCGCGCCTCGGGTTGCTATGTAAGGATCGGGAAGGGGGGAATCTCAAAATTAGAAAAAAAAAGGACAAGAATTTGCAGGTTTTTGGAAGAGCAGGAGCAGGAGCAGGAGGAGGAGGAGGAGGGGGGGGGTAGTCTTTTTTTTCCTTTTCATTATTCATTGGAATATCGGCAAAGCAGGAGGGCCTGTTTCTGGACAGCGGGGCTCTGAGGAGCCGGGAGGCTAATGGGAGTCCTCGCGGCCGGGAATGCTGTGAGTCGCGCGACCGGGACGGGCTGCTCGCGCCGGGCTTCGGGAAAGTCCCCCGAGCTGGTCGGGAGGGAGCGGGCGGCGCAGTAGGATGAGCGACGGCGGGCACGGCTCCGGGGGGGAAACCGAATAGGGATGTATATTCCTAAAAGCATCGTTTAAAAAAAAAACAAAAAACAGAAACAGAAATAGCCGCCGCCGCAGCAGCAGCAGCAGCAGGACGGGTGGGGGGGTGTGGAGGGGACCCCACGGTGGTGTGATGAGAACCTCGCCGACTGTAAAGGCAGGATTCGAAGGGAACAGAGGCGAAGCCGGAGAAAGGAGAGTTTTCCAGCGGGGAAGCGCCTTCACAATAGGAATTTCACTGCGCCGGCGGAATTGAGCACCAGGCGGCGGGGAGACGGAGCCAGGGGGCGACGCGTGCTCGGGAATCCCGTCCTGCGGATTTTTTTTTGGGGGAAAAAGCCTTTCGCGCATTCCCCGCGTCAGACCCTTCCGGATTCTCTTAGGATTGTACAGCGATCGCCCGGATCTGCTTCATTTTTAGATCCATTTATTTATATGAGATACAATTTTTCTTCCCGCTCCAGTGGAAGGATCCCCGTTTACATTATTGTTGTCGTGCGCCCGGTGTGGGAGAAAGAGTCGTCGCGCTGCGGAATCTCGACAGAAGTCTGCCCGACATCTCGTCCACTGGGGTTTGTTCTTCAGCGATATTCGTATCATTGTTGGCATTTGTGACACACACACGCACACGAGAGAGAGAGAGAGAGAGCATCCTGACGGATATTAGGAGGGACCTGCTACTTTCCCGACAGACGGAGGGTATTTTTATTTTTGTTAAAATGCTAATTGGATAAGAGCCGAAGCAAAACTCGAAACAGAAGCCCAATGAGCGGCACACAGTCTACAATCACTGACAGGTAAGCGATTCGCGGTGGCGTTTGTCTTGGCTTTTGTTGATATCATTTCCAGGCGTGCAAGGCAAAAAGTGTCTTTTTTTTTTGTTTGTTTGCACGGCGCGGCGTGACGTCTCCCGTTAATGTTTTATTTTAATGTGGTTTATCACCCCCCCCTCCCCTCCCCTCAGTCTGTTTGTCAGGCGTTGATCCGGAGAGAAACGATGCTACAGTATGTGCAGATAAAACCTGGCGGTGGGAACAAAGCTGTCGGGGCCGCGGGAGCGAGCGCAGTGTCGCCGCGCCGGGTGGGCGAGATCGCGCGGGGCGGCGGGGCACGCGGGAGTCGGGTGGGCTTCGCACGTCCCGAGCTCAGTTTCATTTCTGAACTGCGTGAAAGGTGGTCGGAGATGGGGTTGTTTGTATTCCCCACACCGAATGGTTTTTGACCTTGTGGCCGATACATGGACGCGAGGCGTGTTACGGAGCGTGACACATATGCGCCGACGTTAATTGACGAAGGGCCCCCCGTCTTCGGTCTCATACGATCTCGCATGCTCAGATTTCCGAGGGGCGGAATGCAATCGAAGCGGAGCCCGAACGGCTTTCCGGGGTGGGGAAGGACCGGGTGCTTTTGCGCGCAGCGAAGTTGCAGGCGGCAATGGAGTGGGTTCTGTCTGCACGACAAGCGCCTTGGATTGCATAACGCGCCGCTGCGTGTTCGTGCGTGTGCGCCCCAGCACTGGGGCTCAGACCCCAGAGGCGCCGGGCATGTGTGCTCAGTGTCGGGGCTCTCTGTTCCAGTACCTGCGGTGCTTTCTTCTGGTGCCCAGCGGTTTTGGTGGCAGGTGTGGCGATGTGGACTGAAGCCACCCTCATGCCAAGGGACCAGCGGTCTCCCTGTCTGACGACTGGCTTGCATTGCGCGCCCCTGGGGTTGTTGCAGGGTGACGTCCCGGTCCGGCGGAGGATGGGGTTGGGCCGGACGGCTGACCCGTCCGCAGGGTCAGTTTTTACTCGACTGGTTCACCTGCTTGTGACTGCTCCCGACAGGTGCCGGGGAGCGATTTACCCTGGGACAGGGTGGAGAGAGGGATTTCTTTTCCGAATTCATTTTGTTTTTGTTTGTTTTCTGTGATTTAAATGGCATTTCTGCATTTCATCCTGGGGAGAAGAAGCGAGCGAGCCAGCGCAGTGCTCTTCTGTGCTGGTCTCCCCCTGGCGCTGTGTGTCGGTGCCCCTTGCCCCAGCAGGGACTGAGAGGGGGTCAGTCGGATCACGAGCTGTGCGATCCGAAGGCCGTGCCTGAAGCCTCTGGTCCCCCAAGTACAGGAGACCGGAAGGCCGTGTGTTGGCGTGGCCTGCCTGCTCGGGAGCACCTTTGCTCTGAGATGTGTTGTCCGTTCTGAATAGCAGCTGAGCAGGAGGGGCCCCCAGAGGGCCCGGCCTGCAGTTCGGCACCCTCCTCGGCAGAGTGGCTCTCGGGCCGCCTGTCTCTCTCCAGCCCCGCCAGAACGGGCCTGCCCCTTGTGTGGAGAGGGGTTTGGGGTTTTGTGTTTCGGCCTCCCTGCTCCCCAGTATGGGGTGGGCTGGGTGGACTGTGTGCAGTGGGGGGGTCTGGGGGGGTCTGGGGGGGAAGTGGGCCATCGTGCGCAGGCCGGCCCCTCGCCCCCGCCCCCTCCCTGGTGTGCAGGGAGAGAGGCCATTGCTGCTCCCTTCCTGGGGCTCAGATGACAATCTCGGGGCTCTGCTGGCTGACCTCCGCAACGCCGTGGAATACAGCCCCCCCACCCCCTGGTGGGTCGCTTGGCGTGAGGTGGCACTGAGCGCCGGCGCCCTGAGAGTCGGGGTGCTGTAGGCAATCGGGGGGCTGTGGCGGGCGGTTCGCCCCGTCTTTGGCCAGCACGGTGGGGCCGTGTTTGAACCGGTGGTGTTGGTGCCGTCAGGGGGCTGCTGACCGTCCCCTCAGCCCGCAGGGAGTCCGGAAGCAAAACCTCATCCGGGTGTCGGAGCACCTCCGTCCCTGCCTGCCCCCGGGCGCCGGCCCTGTCCGCATCGTCTCCCTCCAACCTTTCCCGTCTGCAGATCCCCCCGTTTGATTTCTTGTCCGCTGACCCTCCTGCTTCCCTCCCCTCTTAGCTGGGGAAAAAAAACGAGCCAAGTCTTTCCCTGCTTCTCCGACGCGCAGCTCTCTGCTGTGTGGCTTGCGTGTCGGTGGTCTTGCTGCCTTTGCCGAAGGCTGAAGCCGTCGCTGTGTGCAGAGACGCCCCCGCCCCCCTCTGCTGGCGAGGAGTTCAGGCTCGGCACCCTCCCTCGCCTCGTCTTCCTCTCTGGTGTGCAGCCTGTGGCCTGCGTGGTGCTGTTTGGTGCAGCACAGAGGCTGCTGTAGTGGAGCTCTTGGGCACCTGGGAGCTGTCTTTCTTGTGGAGATTGTGTGTGTGTGTGTGGGATAGGACTACTCGGGTGTCCCGGGCTATCCTCGCCTGCGTCCCGGTGCAGCACCGCGTCACCTTCCAGCTGGCCTGCGGGCTAGCCTCCTAGCACAGGCTGTGCCTGCTGGCACGGCGCCTGCCCCTCGCTGCCACCCTCTCTGATGCTCCCCGGGCACCGCGCGGTCGAGACGTACGGCACAGGCCGGCGGAGCTGGCTGCTGGCGCGGTATTAATTAGACGAGCAGTGGTGTGGCACCAGCAGGCGGGCCCTGTAACCGAAGGCCACAGACGTGAGGCGCTAGGCCTGTCCCTCTGTCAGAAGGCTCAGTGTTGATCGCTGTCTCCGCTGTAACCAGAGGTGCCCGAACTAAACAGATCTGCAAAAAATAAATGCTCTGTATCCCAATTATTACATTTTGTGTGTGATGAATATTGATTGTATGAGGGGGAAAAATAAGGGAAATAGGAAAAAGTGGTTCTTTTAAGTCAGGGCACAGGACTGTAAATTAGCCGAAGTCACAACACTAATGGGAGCTGGTTTTCACACGCGCTGGATGTGTGTTTAAGCTCGGCGTGACGAGATCGTCTGGGATGGGGAGGGAGTGCTGCTCTCCTGTACAAACAGGGCCTTTTGTGCTGTCGGGGCTCAGAAACGCCGAGACAGGGCTGCGCGGTGCAGGGCTGGGTCACCTTCTTTCCAGCCAGGACTGCGTGTTCGGTGAGTCAGCGGAGATATTAAAGTGTGGTGCTCGGAAACATGATTCAAAAAATTGACAAAGCGGGCACTGTGCTGGAGGGACACGAGAAAAAAAAGAGCTCTTTCAGTCCTCTAAAAGTCAATAATAGTCATTTTTGAGGCAGAATAGCGGGTTGTATGACCACAAATGGCTTCCAGATTCTTTGCGCATAGCGGCCCGCTGTTTAAAGTAATTATAAGGGGACTGAATGGGTTCTTTTAGGTTTGTGTCTTTGATGGGCGTGGGGAGTGTGACAGCTTTGGTGTTTACTCTGAATTGTCAGGGGTGGAGGCCAGTGGAGGCCTTCAGATCCTCTTTCATGTAGGTGCTGCCTGAGTGTGG